ATATTTTACGAGATCAATATTTTTAAATTTTAATATTTATTTGAGTTTAAATATAAATATAAAAATAAGCATTTTTTTTTCTTTTATTATCAACTAGTTTTTTTATGACATGTGTTGCTTATTGACTACACTCGTTATACATACTTGTTCGATTGTTTATATCATTGTTCACTTGTCATTTATACTCTTTTTTTTAATATTCATTATAATTTTTATTTTATATTATTTAAATTTTTATAATGTTAAAAAAAATTCTTACGAGATTAATGTGAATATAACGGTTTATTAATAAAAACAGCAGTATGTATATACACACACTTCATTTCAATTTATATCATCATTTATCTAAAATTCTTTATAACTATATGCGTGTAATTCTATACATTACCTAATAAATATGTTTCAATATATATAGATATATAATATAACAATAAAATATTATATATATTTTTAAAATAAAAAATTTTCAACTATTTGCCATCCCACACTTATATATGTTCATTTTATTTAAAAATAAATTTCAAAAAGTAAAATTTAAAAATTTTGAAAGGCTGAATTATATATATTCTATTTGAAAATTTATTTTTTAAAAACTATATTCGATCAAATTATACAAACATAAAAAGTATTATAAAAAATATAATTTTTTTTTATCTCTATTCTAAATATAATATTTAAATTGTAATAAAAACAGAATCAAATATTTAAAAATAAATTTTAAAAATAAAATAAAAAAATTTCCAAACGTGCTCAAGCAGCGATTCGGAGCTTAGCACCAAATACCAATAACGGATAAATGCTCATTGTGTTCACTAGTGAGGCCTAGAGTGGTAAAGCTTTGCAAATTCAGGCTTCTAATAAGCAATTTATAAATTATAAATATGAATGTTGCTATAGGGGCTATTATGAAAGTTTTCCAACATAAATATTTTAGCATCTTTAATTAAATTTTATAAATTATTTTATTATAATTCAATAAATATTTTTAATATTCCAATAGTTAAGACTTGAAATTTTCATTCTCAGATTCTAATTTAGTAATTCTAAATAATAAGAAAAAAGTTTATGGAAAAAGGCAGAACTGCTCTGTTGGATTTATCATTTCAGATTCCAATTAAAAATAAATAAATAAATAAACCCGAATCGAAATTTGGGTTTGTATTAAGTTGCCTTCCTATTATTGATGTTGTGTTAATTGATCTTTAAAACCTATGAACAAGTCAGAGTCATTAGTCTAATTACAAAGGTCACAAGGGATACGCTTTCAAGCCATAAAATTAAGCTCATCTAATAAAAAGAAAAGCCCAATAACAATAAAATAATAACTAAAGTCACTGCCTCGGTCCATGAAAAATAAGGAAAAAAAAAAAAGAGAAAAAACCTTAATAAACAACAAAAATAAATAAATCAATTAATAAAAAATTATGATTTTATTTCTATATTTTCTCATAATAAATAACACTTCCTTTCTTTTTTAGAAATGCATAATTTTATCTCTAAATTTTACCTCTGTTATTCTATTATATAATTTTGTGAATCTTTATGTTTTTCCCCGTTGATAAATTACTAGTTTTTCATATTATGCCAAAACTTTATTAACTATTCCTGTAACGGAAAAAATGTAAAAAAATTGATTAATTCATATAACAGCCTGGTAGAGATAAAAAATAGATAAAATTATATATCTTTAAAAAGGTAAAGTCATGTTTTTATGACAAAATACATGAATAAAATAGTAATTTTTTTATAAATAAATAGGATACTGTTATCTAATGTTCTGAAACTCGGACCGGTCATTAACTGATAAAAATAGGATTCATTAAATTATAGGATTCGATCTGATTCACTACGGTTAACCGAATTTTTATATATAATATTTATTTATTGAGTTTTATTTCTTTTTTTCTACTCCAGTCCAAGATGGATTAACAGTATGAGGTTTGCACTAAGAGATTTGCGAAGCACTAGAAAAGCCCAATTTAGTTTCTTCTGTTTTGTTCAATTAAAGCTGGGAGTATTTGTGGTTTTTTTTTTTTTTCAAAAATAATATTATGTTTAACAATTGCTTTAATAAAAAAATGGTTTAGCTAGTCTTTGTTTCTGGTTTTATATCAAACACCATTTGTAGTTTGCTCAATATCTCAAAAAGACAAAAAGTTTATACTAAAACCCACTTCGGGCTTCGGCCCATAAATTTGAAAAGATTGGAAGCAGTATGGGTCCACGGCCCTCCAAACTTCAACCTACTTCGGCCTAGGATGATTTTTTTATTTTAAATTGAAAGGGCTAGGAATTTAATTTTTAATAATTATTCCCATAAATATGATTTCAAAAACAATCAAAGCATTATAGTTGCTCTGATATATTTCATTAGGATTTCTTATTACATCAACAAATAATAATTATTTTAATTATAATAATTTTTATTTTATGTCTAGTTTTCATTAGGATTTATCGTCTAAAATGGACAAGATAAGAAGAAAAAACAAAAAAGATTCAATCTTCTGTTGTTGAGGTTGTCTGACTGATTTTGTTTTGTCATGAAAGAGATATATACATCAGAATTAAAAAGTCAAAAATGTCTTCTAATTTCCAAGGCCTTTGATTTTATCATGAAACGTAGACAAATAAAATCTATGAAGTCAAAATTATCTGTACGAAGATGCATACTCTATTTATGTTTCGACATCTGAAAATTACGACTTGTAGTCTTCTTGGTGATGAAATTTGACCCGTAATTGGGAAGAAGACTATACTAGAAAAATAAAAAGAACATGCTGGAAACTGTAACTTACTATTCTTTTCCTACTTTTCAGCTCAAACTTGTTTTTAATTGGTTATTCTAGGAAATATGCAATTTTCTTTTTTTAAATGTAATATTCTTATTATAACTTTTTTTTAGATGAGACGATTTAAGCATTCTAATATGTTATTTTTTTTTTAAATATTGTCCTTTCGCTCATATTTTTTTTCTACGTTTATAACGTTATTTAGTGTCGGAACAAAATTCGATCTTTTTAGTGTTTTGGATTGATTTCATTCATTTTTTCTCCATATATAATTCTTTCATTTCTACATTGATCTTCTTTTCATTCCCTCATATGGATAATTTAATCCCAGAGCTATTAAATTTATTTTCATTGGGTGTTCTACATGTGAAAAGGGTTACAGACTTTATAATTTGATCTCTAAGGAAGTTTTCATAACTAGAGACATTCATTTCATTGGGTAAACCTTTATCATAAAATACTTTTGTTTGAGTCCAAAAAGAAACATAAACAAAAAGCTAGTGGTTGTACTTACCAATGTATTGACTCACCATTGCCAATAATGTACTTGGCTTGGCAAGTAGAAAGCTATGAGTGCCGTATCCACCTAGCAAAGAAGCAACCAAGAAAATTTCCCCTTAAAGATGCACTCACCGTCTAATCTCGTTGAAAAATGAGCTCACTTCCAGTTCATTGAATTTTTTTTTTTTTCTAAATTTATTATTATTATTATTCTTTAATAAATCATAAAAGTTAATATCTTTTTAACAAGTTTGATCAATTTTACTGTATTTAATAAAAGATATAATGAATTAAAGGAGACTTGAACTATGCAATTCATTAATGGGAGTGGTAATAATGTGATTGAATCAGGAAGGGGCTCAATCAATTTGTGGTTCTAAGTAAAATGGTAGATGAAAGTTTCATGCTCTCATCAAGTTTGCTATAAAGCAATTACTGTCTTTTGGTTTTATCTTTATTTTGTATCTTATGAAAGAACTTTTAAAAATTATTCGAATTCTTTGTCAAGTTTTACAATGCCAATCACAAAATATTTTGAATATTATGTGCTTTGTTTCTAGTATAAAAATATTAATCAAGAATTTAAAAGATTCATATTAGAAAACTTTTTTGGAAAGGTAAAAACATTTTATGAGAAACATTAAATTGATATTCTGGATTTCAATGCTTGATATATTGCTAGGCATGGTCGATCTCAAAACCCACGAGATGAGATTAACATTGGACATTATTATTGAGATGACGAGTTTTATTGCTGCGATTAATTATCAGCCCCAAGCATTGAATAATAGGTTCAATGATCGTACAATATAGTTAATTGTTTTCAGCTGCCCTTTAGAGCCTAGTGATGAATTTAAGGGTTTTAATGTTGATAATATTTATAAGCTTGCACAGAAATTCTATCCTAATGATTTCACAAAACAAGAATTGATATGTTTAAACTTTAAACTTAAACACTTTAAACTTAATGTTCTAAATCATATTGAAATGCAAAAGATTAGATAGTCATCAAGAATTATATTAGGGGCTTATGAAAACTAGAAAATCATTGTCCTCTCATTCATACATTGATTAGACTTGTTCTTATTCTTCCTTTATCAATAACAACTACAGAACAAGCATTTTCAATAATGAAGATATTGAAAATAAAACTTCACAATAAAATGAAAGATAATTTCTAAAATGATTATTTAACTATTTATATAAAAAATAATATAATAAAAAATTCGTCATATAAAATAATAAATATATTTTAGCTACTCTAAAAAAAGATTCAGGCTGTATCGCAGGAAAGAAATGACCTCCTCTTGAAAGATGAACTGGTTTTCATTTACCACTATCCACATCCTGTTGTTTTCTTTTAAATATAACCTGTAAAAATAATATTTTGGTATGACCTTTGCTGATCTAAATAAACTTAAGAGTTACTTTCTTTTTTGGTCTAAGAAAGTGGTATGTTTAATATGTAATATATAGTGTGGGAAAAGTGAATATTTTAAAACGTATTTTCTAACGCACGATATTAAAAATGTTTTCTTTTTACAAATTTTTCAAAAAAGAAAAAATAAAGGTAAAAGGAAAAAAAAAAAAGCGGATGCGAGGCAAATAAAATGGTCCCACTAGTATGATGCATGGGGTCTAGCTGTAAAGATCTGAAAACAACTCATAATATAATAAACAAATTTCAAAAGGGTTAGCCTACTCAGCCGCAGCCGCAGCCACTCTACCATTGTGTCTCCCTTTAGCACAAACACATTGCACTTTTTTTGAACATTCTTTCCAACTACCAATAACTCTACATTTTTGCAATAAACCTTCACTCTATTCTATATATACCCTGCCAATTCTTATGTTCTTGAACATCAAAATGGAGGTTAGTAATTCATTTGTGAAAAATCCCAAACCCCATATCCACATTGTCATTGAGCTATCCACACCACCACAAACACCACAACCGCCTCAGCCGCCGCCACATTATAGCTTTTTAAATGCCGTTAAAGAGTCACTTGTTTCACTTTTGGCAAGGTTTCATGCAGGATATTTTAGAATAAGCCTTTCTCTTTGTAGCCAGGCCTTACTCTTGAAAATTCTTAGAGATGAATCAATAACTAATCCACATTCGCTTAGAAGAGTTTTCCAAGGGATACCCTCTTTAGCTTTTGTTCTTCTTTGGTCAATAGCTTTCTTTATAACAGCATTTCTCTCCTTTGTTTATATATTTAGATGTTTCTTTCACTTTAAGTTAGTGAAAGATGAATTTCTCCATCATGTAGGAGTGAACTATCTTTTTGCTCCTTGGATTTCTTGGCTTCTTTTACTTCAATCATCACCTTTTTTCAATTCAAAATCTATTTACTATCTTTTTCTTTTTTGGGTTTTTGTTGTTCCAATGTTAGTGCTTGATGTTAAAATTTACGGTCAGTGGTTTACTAAAGGAAAGAGATCTTTATCTATAGCAGCAAATCCGACAAGCCAGTTATCAGTGATCGGAAACTTGGTCGGAGCTCAGGCGGCAGCCGAAATGGGGTGGAGAGAGATTTCTATTTGCATGTTTTCATTAGGGATGAGTCATTATCTTGTGCTTTTTGTAACATTATATCAAAGGTTAAGTGAGGGTAATTGCGTACCAACAATGTTAAGGCCAGTTTTCTTCTTATTTATTGCTGCTCCAAGCATGGCAAGCTTGGCTTGGAACTCTATTTCTGGAAGCTTTGATAACTTGGCAAAGATGCTCTTCTTTCTCTCTCTTTTCCTCTTCTTATCCCTGGTAATATATTTGCGAAAATTAGATTTTATTTTTATTATTATTTAGCTTAATTTTAGAAATTGTTATGTTTAAGAAGTAAAATTAAAATTGAATTGTTATAGATGTCATGATACATATATTTGTGGTCTTTAAATAAGAATTCAAGCAGGGACCATATAAAGATCGTGTGCTCCAGTTAAGCTGCTAAACAAGTGTCCCTTTCACATATATGTGCACATGTTGACATAGCTAAGCCGACCGGTCAAAGCATAGCAGTTTATGGGTGATAAAGCTTGCTGCTACATCCTTGCATCGGGTCTGCTAAGACTTATCCATATGTCCTGTGTACAAGCGCACCTATGTACCAATTCAAATACAGGTGTTTTGGTTGAGAATATTTCTAATCATGATGAGAAAAAAAAAATAGTAATATTTTTTAAAAATACTTTTTTAATTAGTTTGGTGTATATAGTTATAGTTAAAAAAATTTATTTTTGGATCAATTGACACGTATCAAAACTATATATTTTTTTTCTAATGATTTTAAGAGTGTACTCCACGAATCAATCTGGTATATCTAAAAATATCTAGTGTGAAATACTCTTCACTACTCCCCACTCTCTCTATATATACACATACATACACCATATATAGTTACATTATGTAGGCTAGTTTAATACATATTTATTAGTTAGTCCATGAAGCCAAATTCCAACTAATTACTAATAAATATCAATTTATTCTTTTGACTATTTTAAAAAGTGACCTTTCTTTCTTATTCCTAATTAAACATCTTATTTGTGAAGTCCCATTGGCTAATATTTTTGTGGGTTTTTGATGTGAAAATAGGTTTCAAGGCCAATGCTATTCAAGAAATCCACAAGAAAGTTCAATGTAGCATGGTGGGCATACTCTTACCCTTCAACAATTTTGGCAGCAGCATCAGCAGATTATGCACAAGAGGTTAAGGGTACTATTGCCCATGCGATGATGATGGTGTTATCTTCACTTTCAGTTCTTGTATCTCTTAGCTTGGTGGTTTTCACTGCACTTAATACTAACAGCCTTTTCCCACCTAAAGGTCCTGTTAGTCCTAATAATCTTCAAGCCACATCATGATGATTAAAGACAACATCGTTATATATTCCAATTGTAAATCACATGTTGCAGACGGAAAAAATCATAACCATCTTTTTTTAAAAAATATATATGTGTGTGTGTGTGTGTGTGTATTATGTTCAAATTGTTATTTTTTGGTTTTATCCCCATGTCTCCTTTTGAATATGATACCAGTTCTGATATTTCAGAAATCATCCAATGAACTTATGTGTGTCTTACTACTTATGCTCCTTTTTACAGTATTCTAATTGTTATTTCTACAATTGTAATGTACATTATATCTACACATATTAAATTCAGCTGCAAATCGAAGATTCCCCTTCACCTCTCTAATTTTTTTAATTCTCACGTACCTATTCATCTGCTTTTCCTTGGCTGCCATTTCCTTGCAACTTATGATCCAACAATTAGGATCATGACTGGAATTTGCAAAGTCCTTGAGAAAACGATCAAAACGATGAAGATTCGCATATTTTGCTCAATCATGAGACCGATTTAGCCAGCCTTAGATGCTCAGCCTTGCAAGGCCAAGAAGGAACTATTACGTTCTTGTCAGATAAAGATTACCATAGAGATAGGAAGAGCTTAGACAAACCTGCGATCTCAAAAGCCAAAACTCCAATGATCGGTTTCTTTGATGCTTTTGGTATAGGCGCAGAGGCTACTTCAGAATCCATGCAAGTTCTCCGAATTCTTTGCAATTTTAACCTTTATAAGTCAACTAACCAAGTTTCAAGAGCCATATGTATTTGAATCTTTAAATTAAATTGTATGTTCTGGAAACAAGCCGCGATTAAATGATAGAATTTTGGGGTTTGATGAGAGGATTTATCTAGAAAAAACAAAAGCATATGGAAGAGATTGGAAATAATTGAAGTGGGTTAGATAAATTAAAGAGAGAAAGAGGATGTGAAAGGGGAATCTTTGATCTCTAAATGATTTTTTTTTTTTTTTTGAAATTTGCATATGAAATTTGTTCGAGTTTTTTCATGTTAGTTTGGATTAATTTACTGTGGATCCCATGAAATATTTTATTTTATTTTAAATCCTAACCCTAAAGTGCAATTACAATTAAATTTAAGTTTAGGGTAATATAGGTAATAAAGGTAGGTATTTTTGGAAGGGGATTCAGGTGTAACCTGATGAAAGGTCCTCTTACACTGCATGAGCTGACCGATGATCAATTCCACTCCCCATCTCCCCTCCCCTCTTCTCTGGACCTGAGAAAGAAAAAAAAAAGGTGGTTTTGGAAAGGTAAAAAAAAACGTTCATTAAGTTGAAATGTCATGGAGAGCCAAATCGAACTAGGGAATCTGAATGAGCCAAAAAAGAGAGTTCAAAATGCTGTTACAGCCGTCCATGCAGACAGGGGACGGTAGAGGTTTGTTGTTGAGGAATAAAGGTCCTCTTATTACCCTTTTCGTTTACATTTTCCTTTTTCTTCTCTGTCTCGAAAGCTACCTTTGCACTTTATTATACACATGGATGAAGGAAAAGAAAAGGACGTACAAAATTAATCTGTGGATGAGTATATAGATAATGAGTTTGGTTTTAGTCTCTGTCAAGTTCAAAAAGCTACCTTTGCACTTTATTATACACATGGATGAAGGAAAAGAAAAGGACGTACAAAATTAATCTGTGGATGAGTATATAGATAATGAGTTTGGTTTTAGTCTCTGTCAAGTTCAAAGTCAAGTACTACTGTATATTGATTAATTGATGAACAGCTTAAACACCCTAATTAAACAGGATATAAGGTCCTAGTTAACTAAACTGGGAGTCTAACATTTTCCTAATTCAAGAACATATGCTTGTTGCTATAGGCAGATTCAGCATTGGGGGAGGGCACTGTCATCATCTACTGCCTCTATATCATATATATATATTAAGATTTCTTTTAACTTAATATTATTTATTTTTGCCCACTTAAATATTTTATTTACCTCCACATATTTTTTTTTTCTTTCACTATATAAACTAATTTTAGTTTGATATTATACTTAATTTATGTATAAAGATTAATTCATGTAAACTGAACGAAAAAAAAAAAATATTGTTTAGCTTTTTGTTCTATTAAATTTTCATCTTACGAATTTACTTGGAGTTGGTATAGTTTGTGATTAATTAATTCTTTTCAAATAAAACTATCCATTTTTTAACCCACTCATAAATTAATTTATTTTTGAACCGTATTATATATCTATTTAATTCATTTATTTTTAAATTTTTATTGCCATTTTTTCAGTCATGTTACGTACTTTGATATATTTTGATATATTCATATATGCATGCGCGTGTATACATGCATTTCAATTTTGCACCAATTAATATAAATCTAGAGGTCCACCTCCAATTCTAGCCGTCCATAACTTTAATTTTTGAAGCCGTACAACTAATACCCCTCCAACATATCATAAGAAAATAATAATAGTATTAAAGAAGATGAATAGCATTGGATATTGTCCGTCCAATTTACTCTCAAGTGGTGACCTATCCTTGACAATTATTTAGGTAGATGTTCACTTTCCGGTTTTCTTTCTCTTTTTATGGTTTAGGATGGATTTTGTAGAGAGCCTGTCGGTTTGGGTTTAATTAGCTAAAAGGATATTAAATTTTCTCTATCATTTAACTTGCTTATAGGTCGAGAAAAATGTTAATTAATATGTCAAATAGGTGTCGTCTGGTTAGCTTTTTTACTTGTGTACGGAGTGGAGTGAGAGGTTTCAAGTTCAAGAATTTTCGACTTCAAGTATTTTCACCAATTTAGTCTCTAAGGGAGGACTAATATACATATATATTGAACAAGGCGCAAATCTTTTCTAAGATCACAAATTTAATTAACTATTTGGCTTGGAAAATAATAGTAATGATTTATTTTTCATAAAATGTCATAACTGCCCTTAGTTGTTTTATAAAATATCGTATGTACCTTTATTTTGAATTTTTTTTTTTTTTTTTTTTTTTTTTTTTTTTTTGAGGAAAAATGTGTTAATATCATTATTGGGATAAGACATCGATAATAAAAGGAGGTGGGACAGATTCCCAAACTCCTAGGCCTGACTCGGAATGAGCTCCCGTTGCTAGGCAATGGGCAATCACATTCGTAGACCGATACACAAATTTACACCTAATACTCTCTATTTCATATAAGAGAGATTTACATGCTTGAATTAAAATACCAAAAGAGGACCAATCTGAGTATGCTCCATTATTCAAAGCATTAATAACCACCTGAGCATCAGACTCCACCTAGACAGTAGACCTTATCCTTTATCCAGCTAAGCACCTCACGAATGGCAATAGCTTCTGCAGATTTCGCATCTAATAAATCTGGGATTCCCCAAGTCCTTGCTGCAAGAAAATGGGCATGAGAGTCGCGTACAACAGCTCCAATACCCACGAAGCCACCAGACCCTCCTAATGATGCGTCGACATTAATCTTAATCCAACCAGGTGGAGGACGCTGCCATGCATGTACAGGCACAACAACAACATTCACAACAAGTGGGTGCAGCCGTACCTCCCTCCAAGCTGCAAGAGAACGCGTAGCCATATAATGAACAGCCAAGGACAAACCATCAGAATAACAGGAGCATTCTCTATCGTTGCCGGTAAAAACACATTAGAGAACCGGTCCATAAAGTAGAGTAAAGGAATTGTTTTAAAATAACTTTGATCACACTGAATATGATACTTGTTTATCATTGAATCTTAAGCTAGGCTTGAAATAGCCTTTTACAAAGCAACATAATACAAGAAAATAGATCATGATAGCTACGGCTATCAACTAAAACAAGAATAAGTCAGAAATAGCTATCTCTCTTCGAGACTAGGACTTTATTGAAACAAAGAGCCAAATACTCTTATCTTCAAGCAACTAATTTCAGCAGAAAAAGACCATTTCAATCCCTCCCCTAAACTAGCTGCAAATTGCAGTTAGTTTACATCAGTGAGATCACACATTCCCATCTTCTCTTTGAGTTTCTGAAAAGCTTCGAGTTTTAGTGCCTCGGTCATCACATCTGCTACTAGCTATTGAGTTTCACAATGAACTAACTTAATTTTTTCATCTTTTACGAGATCTCTCAAGAAATGAAAACGCACCCTGATGTGCTTGCTTCTTCCATACATTACTGGATTTTTTGAGAGTTTCATTGTAGAGATATTATCACACATGATGGTGGTGCTTTCTTGTTGAACATGACCCAAATTTCTAAAAACCCTTCTCATCTATATAGCCTGACATGCACAAGTAGCAGTTGCCACAAACTTTGCTTCAGTGGTTGAAAGTGTAACAATCGGCTGTTTTTTCGACATCCAAGAAACATCACCTGAACTCAATAAGAAAACATAACCTGATGTGCTTTTGGAATCTTCTTCATCACCAACATAATTTGAGTCGGTGAAAACAATCAAATCTTCATCCCTCCTTTCTTTTCGAAAATACCATGACTAGTAGTTCCTTTCAAATAATGCAGAATTCTCTTAGCAGCTTGCAAATGTAATTCAGTCGGTTTTGACATATACCTGCTGATTAAGCTCACACTAAACATGATGTCTAGATGTGTAGCTATGAGATAAATTAAGCTTCTAACAATTTGCTTGCAGTAGGTGTCATCCACAGAAATTCCATTAGCATCCCTACTTATTTTGAAACCCGGAACAATTGGACTAGTTACAGGTTTGCTTTCTGACATTCCGAACCGCTTCAACAGATCATTAGCATATTTCTTTTGACAGATGAAAACATCTCAATTCCAAGGAAGAACCTCATCTTCCCTTAAGTTAGTCATATCAAAAGGCTTTCATCATGGGAATTCTTGAGTTTCAACCATCATGCTTATCTTCGCCCGTATAAATTAAGTCATCCACGTATGAACAATCAGACTTATCCTTACTTGTTATCTCTTAGTGAACAATGTTTGCTCATTGACACTTTCTGAAAATTCTTCAATAATGACACTCAAATTTGGTAAACAAGCTCTTAGAGCTTTTGAGTGAAAAGGGCTTTTGCCAGCTTGTTTACAATCTTGCTCACTTCCATTCCTTAGAGACCCCTTGTTGCTCAATGTACACATCCTCATTAGAGATTCACCATGAGAAATGCAAGTTTGACATCTAATTTAAAAATGTCGACCCTGCATCTGCAAGTGGCAAAACAATCATTCTTATGGTGTCCATTGAGCACTGGAGCGAAAAACTCATTAATCAATCCCAGTGTTTAAGGAATATTCCTTTACCACCAGTCGAAGCTTTATTTACTTGTACAACTTATTCACCGTGCTCGTTAATTTTTCTTGAAGATTCCACTTAACACTAATGGTTTTAGATCTAGTTGCAGTCCATGATTCCCAAGTCTGATTTTTTTTCAATGAGTTATTTCCACTATCCTAGCCTTCTCCACTTTCTTGTTCATAGCATTTTTGAATTAACAATGGGTCTCAGCTCCAATATCTGTTCATATAGGTTGTTCCTCACCTAACTTAATCCTTGCTCCGCTGAAATACATCCCCCATCTGTGGCGGCTGCCTTCTTTCTCTCCCTTGAGCCTACCATACCTGAAAACTGCCCTCACCATCCTAGCTCACTATTTTCACCCCCTCATTATTTTCATCAACTACATATGGAATTCCATATCACTACCTACCATCGACCATTATCATTTTCATCACCTTTTATTTTCTCTCTCATTTTCTTGTTTATACCACTAAGGTCATCATCTCCCATATACCTAACATCTACCCTCAGTTTGCTCCTAAAAATTTTTTTTCCCAATTCCCGCTCTTTGTTCCTCAAATACACATCCTTGCTAAACTACAATTCTTTTAGCTTAGGATCAAAATAACCTATTATCCTTTCGATCCTTCCTTAACTCCCAAAAAAATACAAGAAAACTTTTATCATCTTAATTACTCGCTTTGCTTTCAGAATGTGCACATGTTCTACAACAACCCCGATTACTTAAATTATCAAACTGGATGGTTTCACTTCCTCCATGCTTCTTAGAGTGATGTTTTTACCGCAAGATAGGACACGATTCAATAAGTTAGAATGTCCATTTACAGCTTCAGTCCATAATATTTTAGGCACCTTCTAGCAGCTAGCATGCAAACCTGTTTTGATAGGTGTGTAGCGCAGTAGTACATCTGTTTATCCTGTTCTTCACAGAATGCTTTGAAATTGAATTTAAGTGAACTCGCCACCTCTATCTGTCATTTAAACATTTGGATCATCTACTTCTTTTTCCCTACCACTTCTTGAAGTTTTGTTCAAATGCTTTATTCTCAAGCAAACAAATAGGCACCATGCTCTACGACTATGAATCATCAATGAACTTAAAGTACCTTTTCCATACTAGATATAGATCAATAGGATCGTAATGTCTGCATGAACAAGCCCAAAACC